GCGCACGGTGGGCGTGGCGTCGTGGTTGGACTGCGCCAGCGCGGCCAGCAGCTGCCGCACCACGTTGTCGTACATGAGGTCGCTCTCGTTCGTGATGAAGTCCAGCCGGTTGAGCGACTTGATGTGGTCGCGGTTCTCGTTGCAGAACATGGCCAGGATGTTGATGTCGCAGAACTGGGAGCGGCGCCACTGGCGGCGCGTCTTGATGCCCACCTTGTGCAGCTTGTCGAAGATGAAGTTGCTCTTGCGGAAGATGAAGAGGTGGATGAGGTTGACGAGGATGATGAGGTTCATGGAGCACAGCAGCACGATGTCCACGCCCGCCACGATGCGCTGCAGCTGCACGGACGGCAGCTTGCAGCTGACGCGCACCGCGGGGCCCCCGCCGCCCGCGGGGCCGTCCGGGGACGCGCCCAGCGCGCAGGTGAACTCGTTCTGCTTCTGGGTGGCATAGTAGGTGCACAGGTAGGAGATGGGCGCCACGCTGAGCAGCAGGATGAGCAGGTGCCGCGCCAGGTACAGCTTGGCCAGGAAATTGCTGCGGCCGCGGCGCTCCAGGTACTTCTCGAACAGGTTCTGCTCCGGGCTCTTCTCCTTCTCGGCGTTCTCGATGATCTCGCGCTTCTCGCGCTCCGTGATGCCGGGCCCCTTGGACTGGATCTGCTTCTCGATCTTGGGGGCGCGGCCCTCGGCCGCCCGGTGGTAGCAGTTGTCAATCTCCTGCAGCAGGAAGTTGAGCTCGGAGGTGAGGCGGGTGGAGGCCAGGAACTCCCAGCCCAGCGCGGGCACGTACATGATGGCGGCGAAGGCCAGCAGCGAGTAGGGCAGCAGCTTGTGCTCAAACAGCGACGGCCACAGGCTGGCGTCCACGCCGGGCAGTGCGTCCCGCAGCTCCGTCCAGCAGTAGCCGCGTGCGTACAGAGCCTGGTCGCGGGTGAAGTTGTGTGGGGTGTAGCAGTAAATGGGTTCCTCTGGAGGCAGAGAGAAGATGCGGGTTGGGGATGGGAGACCCCAGCGGGCGCTGCATCCCAGCCCCGCCCACACAGCTGCGGGGCCGGGACTGCTGTTCCCGGAACAGAAGCCCCCAGGCCCAAGGCTTCCCCTCCCCCATGTCCCACCATGGGTGCTCCCACATACAGCAGTGGGCTGCCGCGCGGGTGGGGTTACAGCTGTGCCCACCAGCCCAAGGGGACCAGCCTGCACTTCTCACATCAGGCCCCTCTCCAAATGCCACAAAATCCTGTGAACGCAGGGCGGCTGAGTCCCAGGGAGGAGCGGAACAGGCCACGCCCCTCAGCCAGTGTCCCTCTTCCAGCTGCACAGCAGGACCAGACCCCGGCCTTGCACTGCCCCGGGTGCCCTGGCTGTCCCCAGAGAGGACACTGTGGCTTCTGGAAACCCCGCTGCTGAGTGCCCCGGGCCGACGACACACAGCCCCTCGGAAAAAGCACCCAGAAGAGCCGGTGCCCCCGATGCGGCTCCAGGGAGAAGCCAGCCTGTGCCCATGCCACACACACTCCCGCAGGCCCCAGGCCCCAGCCCCTCCCAGTCGGGTCTGAGCCTGTGCGGGCGCCGGAGTGCCTGTCCACAGGTGACGCTGAGCTGCTGCCACTGCTGCGTGTCCTGTCAGCACCTACCCCTCCCCGCCTCGGCTCTGCGAAGGCTGCATGCTTGGTGAGTGGGACCCCACCCCAGCACTCCCCAATCTCACGCCCCCCCCTCCCGCCCCAAGGGAGGTCAGACTGTTCCTGGACCCCACAGCCTTTACAGACCTCCGTGTGGTGTGGTGCCGTGGGCTCCCCAGAACCTGCCACCAGGCTCCTTTACACAGACTGCAGAGGTCAGGTTAGGGGCCTGCTGAGGCCCTGAGCCTGGGTTGTCTGGGTGGGCCTGCTGTGACACAGGAGTCCTCGGAAAAGGTGGCAGGAGGGATGGAGGCAGAGACTGGGGAGAAGACAGGGTGCCGCTGGCCTTGAGGGTGCAGGAAAGGCCAGGAGCCAAGGGGTACAGGTGCTCCCAGGGACTGGGAAAGGCCGGAGAGAGTCTCCCCGAGCCTCCGGGACGAATGCGGCCCTGCTGACCCCGCGGCTTCAGCCCCCTACCCCCTATGACGCATTTCTGACATCTGAGCTGCAGAGCCAGGAGATGGGAAGCTCGCGTCGTGCTGGATGGGCTGCAGGAACTGACGGTGCCTGGCGGGCGGCTGGCTGGCTGCTTCCTCCGCCACGACCCATCCCGCCCCGGCACCAGCCCCAGTGGCGTGAACAAACGCTGCCGGGGGCCCTGATGGGTGGCGCCCCCTGTGGGACGGAGGGGGACCTTCAGGGCTGCCTGCAGTGGGCGTCCTGGGTCTTCCTGAGCTGGCTGGGTGGGGGTCTCACTTCTCACGTCTCATCTTGGAGGCTCCTGGGGACCCGCAGGCACGGGGCCCCGCAGCTCATGCGTCTCGATCCTCAGGGGGCCAAACGCTCCTCCTTTCCCTTTTGGAAAGGAAAGCAGCAGAGAGCTGAGCTAGGACAGGTGGCCTTGGGGACACCTGTGCCGCCACGGTTGGGGAGGCACACCAGGCTCTGCTGGGACTTGATTACTTGGCTGTTTTAGGAAAAAGCAGAGGTTGGTCCCCCCACCCCAGGCCCACATGACGTCAAAGGACCCGGTAACCCCTCGACTCCGCCTCCCCATCTGGCCCGCACGCCCGCCCGGCACAGCCCTGTCCACCACTGCGCGGTCCACGTGGAGGAGGAGCTGCTTGCAGCAGCCCGAGCCAGCAGCAGTGGGGTCTGCCGTCTGCCGTGCTCCAAGCTGGGGACACAAGAGTCCAGGGAGGCCCCCGGTTGGGAGGCCAGCAGCACCTGGCAGGCCCTTCACCACAACCCGGACGGCAGAAGCATGGGTTCCCCTTGGGTCCCTCGTGAGCAAACCAGAGTGCAGAGGTCACTCGCCCCGGCTGCAGGGCACCCACTGGGCTGGGGCCCTTGCTCAGACCAGGGCGTGGAGCCTCCAGGGAGCAAAATGCTGGACGCTGAGCTGTACCTGGGCTCAGGCCCGTGCAGACGCGGTGCACGCCTGCCCAGCGCCATGCAGGGTAACTGGCCAGAGCTTCTGACTTCCCCTCGCCATCGGACCGGCCTCCACGCTGTGGACACAGGGTTGTCACCTGCAGGGCCCCCTTTCCCTGCACCCCGCTGTCCTCGTGTCTGGGGAAGGGCCCCCACCGCTCCCAGGCACCTCGGGCCGAGGTTTGCCGAGCGGGTGGGCCCTGCCCTGGCTGCAGTCCTGCCCCGGCCTGACCCGAACAGCAGAGGCAGTTCACGGCCCCCAAACCACGGGCAGTGAGGACGAGCACGCGCACTGACTCCGGGAGGACCTGAGAACCCACGCCGACCCCCATTTGTTTTGTGACCCGCCTGCCACCTCCCAGGAGGCCTGCTTCATCCCCACACAGGCAGTGGGCCCAAGTGGGCGCACACATGTCTGTAAGCAGCACAGGAGGGTGAAACGGCGGGTCCCCCAGGACCAGGTGCACTCGGGGAGACCTCGGCAGCCCAGGCCTGGCTGGACGCCGAGGGGTGCCGAGGCCCCACCTGGCCGAGCTGGTCTCACAGCGGAGTGGGAGCCCTGTCCTAGGAGCTCAACTGAGGGTGACCTAAACCCTGCGCATCTGCAGTGGGTAGAATTGCATCCCCCCAAGTCCCAGCCCCTGTGTCTGTGACCTCGTTTGGAAATAGGGTTTCCACAGATGTCATCAAGTTCAGATGGCGTCACAGTGGGCCCCAGTCAGTGACTGGTGTCCTGTAGGACGAAGGAGGTTTGTACACAGACACCCCAGGAGAAGATGCCGGTGAGGAGTCCACCAGGAAGGTGACAGTGAGCAGTCCCCAGGACTGCCATGCCCCGGGGAGCTGGAGAGGGAGGGACCCTCACCAGGCCCCTGGAGCTCGGCCCCTGGCCGTGAGAAAACGAAGCTCTGCGGCTCCGCGCACCAAGGTGGAGCTTGTTTGTTGCAGCATCCCCAGGCACCGAGAGTCTGTGCCCACCTGAGTGACACTTGAGGCGCCCTGTGCCTGTCGGTGACGTGCCTGGGTCACATTCACACCTGACCGGGCTGTGCCTCCTGGCCCCTGTGTGTATGTCCTAACCCCAGGAGTGTCTGAGTGTCTGAACACTGGTGGTGTGCCCCCACCGTAGGGTGGGATTAGGTGGCCTGAACAACATCCACCCTGAGCTCTGGCATCCGCAGGTCACAGGGACCCCTAAAAGGTGAGACCTTTGTGAAGGAACTGATGCAAGGTTTGCCAGTGTCACTCAGGGGACAGAGCCACATCTCACTCCTCCCTCCTGGAGGGCCCAGGAACCCAGACCCCCTGTGCCCTAGACTGGCATCCTGGCCCTCAAGCATGGCCCATGGTCTGGGGAGCGGCATCCTCCATACCTGGGCAGAGAACCCTGGCCAGCCAGACCCTGGGGGGCATTTCAAATGCCCAGCCGCCCACCTCTGAAGCCTGGCCCTGTAGCTGACCAGAACCTGACCGGAACCTGCCGGCTTCTCAGGACTCCTCCCCGGGACCTGCCCCTCCCGCCCAGCCCTCCCACCCAGCCCGGCTTTGCTGCTCTCCTCAGCCTTCCCCTCACCTGTGACATCCTTTTCTGGTCCTCACCTGGCAGCTCCTCCCCCTTAGACCCTGCCCACGCCCCTCCTGGTCTCCCCTTCTCCTACCAGACCCCGTCTCATCTGCCTGGACGCGAAGTTCCAGAGAGGGTCCGCTAAGCGCCAGGGGAAGGTAAAAACAATGCATGCAGGAGTGGGGTCAGGGGGCAGCCCGGGCCACTGGCGCCCCTTGCAAGGACGGCTGCTGTCAAGTCTGCTAAGAGACCCCCTGGGTGCCGCCGACACGGCCGGCCCCAGACAGGTGGCCAGTGGCGGACGGAGCAGCGAGGGCGGGCAGCGCCCGACACCTGCAGACGCGCCCCCTACACCGCCC